ACAACAATAAAAAAACAACAACAAAAAAGTGGCCATTCTCCCCACACTCCAAGACCTGAGAGTAAAAAAACCCTAGGGATTTTCAAATAACGTGAACACAGCAGAAATGTTACAGTATTCCCTCCGGAAACCCGAATAATGGCCAATCATAACACTCTCAGCTCAGTCACTCGTCTTTGGATCTTACAATGGGTGAATAAAGGGCGTGGCTTAAGATATGGCGGCTGTCCTCTTCCACGTTTGTAGCCACTCATGATCGAACTGACTGTTTTAAAAAGATGCCTTTAAAGGCACAGGGACTGTGTCTGCCTATCAGATCGTTACATTTACAAGCGTTCCTGAACTGTGTAAAAATAACACACACAATAATTTGGACTATCAATTTAAAAAACTAATTCGGAAATTCCTCTTTAATTTGTGTTTGCTTTTCTGATGCAAAGTTCATGATTTCTTTCAGTTCTTTTTTTCTCAACCTATAATGTTTTGGCTTTGGTTTCGTTTTATTCTTCTTTTCTGGTTTTAGTACTGTTTGGACATTTTGAAAAGCGTATTTGTAATAAAACCATTGTCACAAGGACTCATTTACCAGAAAATAATATACTTCTTTGGTTCCCGTACTTGCTTTCAGCATCCATTCCGGCTGGTCATGGTCTTCTTTGGGAAAGCCGCTCTTTGATGTGTGCTAATCACGGCTGGGTGACCGCCCTTTGGTGTCTGGTAGTTGTTATTGTGTGACTTCCCTTTGATGTCTACTGGTCACAATTTGGTGACCGCTCTTTGCTATCAGGTGGTCACAGACGGATAACCGCCCTTTTATTTATGATGGTCATTGTTGGATGACTGCCTTTTAATATCTGCTGGTCTCTACTGGGTGACTGTCCTTTGATGACTGGTGGTCTCTACTGGGTGACTGCCCTTGATGTCTGGGGGGGGGGGGGGTCAAGGTTGGATAACCGCCCTTTGATGCCTACTGGTCATAGCGGCGGAGTCTGTGATGTAGACAATGGAGGCCGTGTCAAAGCAAGGGCCGATTATCATTGTTGATGTTTATGACAACATCCCCCTTCTCCCACCCCCAAATAAATCATTTGTTTTAAAATGAAGGAAAACAGAAAAAAGACAAAAACAAACCAAAAACAAACAAAACAAAAACAGCAAAACAAACCCCCCCCACTGAATATACACTAGTAACAAATTAAATATGGAGGTTCATACTATTCTCAACTAATTCACCCGTCAAAGAGCTGTCTAACTCATTAAAATTTACTTACCGTGTTTACATATAACTATTTTTATGAGTAAAGTAAAGTAAAGTAAAGTTGTTCCCGAATCCGATCTGGACATTGGAGATTGCCTTGTTAGTGAGACAACTTACTAGAATTTCGGCCTTTTCTATGAGAACCGATTGAAAACAAAGAAAAACAAAACAAATAGAAAACAAATCAAAGAAGGAAAGACTTGACTGAGAGCATTTTACTTTGAGGGAAAAAAGGTTGCTTGTTCATACTTTTTCAAATTTGTCAAAATAATTCTTCTTTTTTTTCGACATATCGTTTGCAGGAAAACGTGACAAGAGTTATCTTTAACTCTGTTGCACTTTGTACATCATCTGTGAGCTTGTGAGAGTGGCTGGTCAGTGTGTGTCGGCCTTCTTTGGGGAAGCCGCCCTTTGATGTCAGACGGTCATTGTTGGATCACCGCCCTTTGATGTCTGATGGTCATTCTTGAGTAACTACCCTTTGATGTCTACGGGTCGGTTTTGGGTGACCCTCTTTGATGTTTGATGTTCCATGTTGGGTGACTGCCCTTTCATGTCTGAAGGTCATTGTAGAGTTACCGCCCTTTGAATTCTGATGGTCCTTGTTGGGTGACCGCCCTTTGATGTCTGATGGTCATTGTTGGGTGACCGCCCTTTGATGTCTGATGGTCATTGTTGGGTGACCGCCCTTTGATGTCCGATGGTCAATGCAGCCGGCGTCTGTGATGTGAACAATGGAAGCTATGTCAAAGCAAGGACCGACAATCGGTGTCGGTGATTTTGAAGACAAATACCCCTCTTTAGGGGGACGCTTGACTCCACTATAAAAGTGAAGGGGTCTGGACATTCCTTTAGTTCAGCATATCGCTCTCGCAGTGACAGGTTGGATACGTCTTGTATTTTCCTCTACAGAATTTCTCGACAACTCGGCAGATATCTAGCATGGCTACTCTCACGTTTCCCGATGTCACCGTCATTCGTGATGGAGACTTTCTGAACAATTTCAACTTGAAGTTTGTGCGTGTCCTTGCCAAGAAGAAGAATTCGCTAGTTTTGGAAGCTTCCATGAAGAACGACGACTCCATTCGTAAGGCAATCAAGAAGATCCCTTACCTGGACAGTAAAGGACGACATCGAGGTCTCGAGGACAGCACCGAGGAGTTGACCATCATGCACAACGTTCAGCACCCGCACCTCATGAAGATGGACTGGGTGGTCACGTGTGACAGCTTCCTGGCTATCTATATGCCCCTGTGTTCTCAGGGATCTTTGGATGGATTGCGTCAGTCGCTCCAATGGGACCAAGTGGAACGGGTTTTCGTACAAACCGCCTGTGCCCTTTGATATCTCCACGACCAGCGCTGTGTACACGGGGACGCGCGTGAAGCCAGACAACATCTTCCAAGACGCCTCCGGCAACGCCATCCTCGGAGACTTTGGTTGTTCTCAGATCTTACCTGATGGAGAAAACACCGTGAGTCGCTGGAGAGGAACTCTGGGATACCATGGACCTGAGTTTTTCCTTGGTTACAAATTCGACCCTTTTCTGGTAAGTTTTTCTTCTTTTTTTATTTTTTACGTTTCAGCCTTGATTTGTTGTGGTCATTACACAGGTTAGACGTAAGTTTTTAGCACACAGAAAGGTATCTGCTGTTTGTGTTTATTCTGCCAAAGAAATATTATTACTTTTATGTCTACGCTTTCACCCTTTTGTCTAATTCATCGGTATTAGGGTGTCATCACTTTTATTACACAATCTATCTATATTATTTGTAGCATGATATCGTTATCAATTGCTTCAATTTTTATGATGTTTGATATTAATGTAACGTGATTCCGATGTCTAATGTTCCGGTCATTTGTTTTCTTTTTTTTCAGATGGACGCATACGCACTGGGAGCCACGCTGTGGTCTCTGGTTTTCAGACTCAAACCAGCAGACCTGGATCTACTGGACGTTGTGAGGAATTCTTCTCTTCCCGAAATGTACAGGTAAGACAGCTGTAATATATATATACATATATCGTGTTTGCCGCTCGAGGTCCACTGTATCGCCACAATGCAATGCTTAATTACCGCTCGAACTTCCTCTAAGTGAATAGTGTAGTTACTCTCTTTTTATGCTTGCTTATTATTTTTTTAAATTACGTTGTCATAAATTATATTTTCCTTGATTATTTTTTCACCTTACAAAAGTGCAATTTTACATTGGTCCTCCCCTTCTTACACTTAACTTTTACAGGAGCCAACCCCTCCCCCCCCCCCCCCTTTTTTTTTTCCTGGCGTCAGATATTATTTGAACGTCCCCTTTAGGGGTTTTCTGGATGAATCGATCCTTGTCTAGATTAGCCTCCTGGCCTAAGATTTAAAGTCTTTCACAATTTTTTTATACTAGATCTAGATCTATCTACCTGGTGCTACGGAACCATGAAGCAAGCTAAGTAATCAGACAACCGTGTTTACGATTGATTTACTCTAGACTAGATCTAGCTAGACTAGAAGATGATTCAGTCCAAACAAGACTATTGGGTCGGTTTGCTCGCCAGATTATGATGCAAAGCGGCTATCGTGGCACAAGTCGATCGCACCCGACCCGTTGTTTCAAAACAAACACGTTGTTTTCAGGCGACAAGTCGGGCGATCATCCC